CCAAAATTCTTCTAACACACAATTCACGAGCTTTGGTAATGCTTGTGATCGAATAAAAATAAACTTTCTCAAATAAACTTACACAGAGTAGTCCTTGAATAAAGGTAGACGCTCTGCAAAATGATGATACCACTCAACGTAAAATTTTTTTTTTTCAAAGATAGTCGTAATACTAAAATCGGTGCACTGCAGATCAGGGAGGCTTAGATTTCCAAGAATGTCCAAGATCAGTCCAGAACAAAAACGAATGGCTAATATTAAATTTTTTTTAGTAAAATTTTTTTTTTCACTACCTTATAAATTTTGACCTTCCTAAACGATATTTTCATGGACGCTGGACACTCACGATCCTCGTGTTGATGATGACTTGCATCTCATGAACTTCTTCTGGATATCTTATTGGAAATGGTTATGGGTGTTTCTCTTAAGTTATTGAATAAGAAAACTTATCCTGGTTTTTGCACACATACATATGCACCAACTATAAGTTTTCAGTTTCGATAGACTGAAATTGTACTATTAACACTGTTGACTTTTAATAACTTATATATTATACCAAAAAACTTGGAAGCCGTTTCCAAATATAATCTGCCGAAAACTTCAGGACAGTGATGAAGGAGCAGCTGTAATGATTTGTGTTTTATTGAAAATATCAGACCAAATGACACAGATGAAAGATTATGTGGAATTCTGCTTTATAATTCCCTTTACCGTACACTTTTTTTTTTTTTTTGCTATCCACAACTTCGGTTGCCATATACTAACAAATGAAGAAGTCAATTTTTCGAGACGTCTAGAAAGAAAGAATCTTGAAACATAAAACTTAAAAGAATTTCCCGTCTTTGCCTTTAACCTTAGCAGGAACTCTAGCATATCCAAATATAGATGGATCTTACAGAACACATTGACTTCTGTATATCGGATTTTTGGACCACAGCGGCCTGCCTGCCTGCCTGTGAACGTTCGGCGGACATTGCTTGGCATCCATCACGTACAGAGAATAAATACGAATGTTTGGGTCCTAGACGGAAAACCTGGCTGCGGTGGGACATTTAAAGCTGGAAATAATGTTTATCTACAGGCGTTTCACTGAAATTACGCGTCATCTGGTACTGAAATTTTATCCGAGAACTTGGTTATCCTATTCAGGTGTGGATTCTAGCTAAACTAATCTCAACGTACAGAAAAAATCAGGCATCTGTTAATCGGTTGTCCAAAGTTCTAAGTTAATTTTTACCTTTATTTTTTTTGCGTACAGTCAAACATTTGCTACAGATTTGTACTGTTTCTTGTATGCTGAAGTTTTTTTTACACAGTCGTTTTTATGTTTAATATTTCAGAAAGTTTTATTTGGGAGGCTAATGAAACCTTTCAATATATATATTTTTTCTTTTTAATGAATACGTTACAACTGTTTCGGTTAGCTCCATGAAATCTCATTGTAATGTTGTGTACAGTAAATTAAAAAAAAAAAGCTGAAAAAAAAAATGGTTCTTATCTACTCTCAATCGTTTAAACAATAAAATACCAACTTTTTTATGTTTTTTTTTTTATTGCCTTATGTTATTCGTCCATCTGATTGACAAGATTTTTATATTTATTTGTTGGCCGAATAGTAACAAACGAACAACCAGAACGTCAACGTTTAGTGAATTGACAATTGTTTAGATGAGCCTGTATATTATGATAGTTGAGATTAGATATTAAAAATTTTTTACTGTCTTAAATATGTAAATTGATTATTATTCAGTAATTTATTCGTTGATTTCAATGCAGTTGTGACTTTGAAGTTTACTGCCTGTCACTGGCATTTTTAAAAGTGGTTGTTTTTTTTCTCGCTTATTTCACAAAATGTTCTTTTGCTATTTAAACTTTCAGTTAAACCATTTAAAAAATTTATTCAGTACAAAGGGTTTTTTTGTTGTTACAATAGTTCGTTACATAAATGTTATATTGGGGAGTTTTTTTTCTACGGAACTTAGAGAAATGCCATTAAATTATGTGCAAATGTTTATCGAATCGCATGACTGAAAAAGCAAATATTTTTAAAAGACATTGCGTGTTATAATTGTCTTTTTTCGCTGAAAGTTTGTAAGTGCCTCAATTTTTTTTTTTGCTATCTATTGATGGGTGTCTTCCTAAATTAATGTTATTTGTTGTTTAGACAGTAGCATACTATTTTGTTTAAATCAACGTCACTAGGTTCTTACTGTTGTCGTTACAGACTTATTGTCGACGAAATGTAAAAGTGCTGGAGTTTTTCACTGCACTTTTCACTAATTTTGAAGCCAGGTTGTCGTGCACTGATCGGAAGGGCAATGTACTACTGGTGCAGGTTGAAAATTAATGGAATTGATAAATATTGTAAATTTTTTTTTGTACTCAGTTTTGTAGGAAGAACAGATAGTATTTTCCGGGGACGAGAAAAAAGAAGGAAATAAGCTGAGAAATAAGAAAGAAGGGAAAAAAAGAGAGAGTCTTCTGCCTTTTTACTAGAAGTGTAAATTTTTTGAAAAATCACGATATATACAGTTGATTTAAGGGTTTGAAAATAAGGCAACATTTGTTTTTTCTCCTTTTTTTTTTTTGTTTTGAAGAATTTTAACTAATTTTTTCTTAGTACTTAGCTTATTCTCTTCTACATGTTTTCGTGTTGTTTAAGGAAAAGTGGCTATTATTCTGAAGAATATTCCTATGGCATGCATATGTTTCGTAATGTTTGGTTAGGGAAGGAGTCCTTAGGGAAGCGGAAGTAATTAAATGGTAATGTTCAAAAACTGTCGTCACATTATTTGGTATCTTATTTGTTAAGGTTTTCTTTTATTTTTTTTATTTGACAGTCTGAAAGTAGGTGAAATGTGCAGTACATTTTTGAACCTTCCAGAAAACTGCTCAGAAATTTACTTTAGGCGGAAGTTACTTATTTTTCTTTTATTTTTTTTTT